TTTCCAGCTTTCAGCGCTGTCACACTTTGAATGACAATTGCGCGATCATGCAACACTGTACCCATGTGAAATTTTTATCATTTTTTTGTGACAGATAGAGCTTTATTTTGGTGGTATTTAATCACCTCTGGGTTTTTAATTTTTTTCTTAAACCAAAAACCACAGAAAATTTTGAAAAAAAAATGTTTTTTCTTAGTGTTTGTTATAAAATTTTGGAAAGAAGTGATTTTTCTCCTTCACTGATGTGTGCTAATAAGGCTGCACTGATGGGCTGCACTGTTAGGCAGCACTGATTGGCATTGATGGGTGACACTGAAAGGCAGCTCAGATGGGCACTGATATGTGGCACTGATGGGCACTGGCACGAAGCACTGACACAAGGCACTGATGGACACTGACAGGTGGCACTGCTGGGGCTACACTGATCATCAGGGCTCTGATGATCAGTGTACATGTCCCCTCCGTGGAAAGCCGATTACCGGCTCTCCTCTCCTCTCAAGCTGTGAGCATTACAGCTCGAGAGGAGAGAAATGCCGATAACCGGCATTTCCCTGTTTACATGTGATCAGCTGTGATTGGACAGAGCTGATCACATGACCAAGCCGACATCTTCGCCTCTTTCCGTGATCGGTGATCCGCTGTGTCCGAGGGACGCAGCGCACCGCCGATCGCTGCACTGCGCGCTCCCTGAGCCGCGCATGCGCAGTGAGAATGGGAGGACGTCATATGACGTCCTCCCAGAACAAGAGAACCACCTTCCACCCGTCATATTACTATATGGCGGGCGGGAGGAGGTTAATATCCATTGCCACTGCTTTAAGATTCTCCATAGTGAGAGGGAATCCTACTGGTGGGCGTGCTGTGGCTGCTGCAGCCGGGCTCCTGCTGCGAGAGCGGGATGCTTTGTGTGTGGAGTGGCAGGAGGCAGCAGGGGACGAGGCCGCAGTGTGCTCCAGGGCCTGGGACCAGAATAGCTCCAGTATACTGTGGCTGGGATAACCGCTCATTGGGCAGGGGGACCGCGATCGTGGGGCAGAGGCTTTCCTGTCAGCCTTCCCCATATTACCTGCGGCTCTCCCTGCGTATATCGGGTGCATTGTCCTCCGTGTGTCGGAGCTCTGGGATTAGGCGTCCATCGTCTTCTGGGCTCAAGCCACGCCCTCCAGCACTTTCTCCTAATACTTCTCCAAATCATTTAGATGTTCATTGGCAAACTTCAGATGGGCCTGTACATGTGCCTTCTTGAGGAGGGGGACCTTGTGAGCGCTGCAGGATTTCAATCCATGGCGGAGTATTGTTTTACCAATAGTTTGTTTGGTGACTGTGGTCCCAACTGCTCTGAGATTATTCACAAGCTCCTCCGCGTTTTTCTGGGCTGATCCCTTACTTTTCTCATGATCATCCTTACCCTATGAGTAGAAATCTTGCATGGAGCTCTAGACCGAGGGCGATTAATGGTTATTTTGTATTTCTTCTATTTGCGAATATTTGCTCCAACAGTTGTCTCCTTCTCACCAAGCTTCTTGCTGATGGTCTTGTAGCCCATTCCAGCCTTGTGTAGATCTACAATCTTGTCCCTAACTTCAGCTCTTTGGTCTTGCCAATGGTGGTGCCCAAGAAAGAGATTCTGTGGACTGGTATCCTGTATACACATAACGAGTTGTCGTTAGGAGCACCTTCTTAAATTGACAGGGCTAATATGTGTGCCATACGAGTGCATAGCCAGTTTGTGGGAGCCAGAATTATTATTGGTTGGTAGAGGATCAAATGCTTATTTTACTCAGCTGCAACTCAATTTATAACATTTGTATCGTGTTTTTTCTGGATTTTTGGTTGATATTTTGTCTCTATCATTTAAAATACACCTATGATAAAATTTATAGACCCTTCATTTCTTTGTAAGTGGGTAAATTTGGAAAATATGCTAGGGATCAAATAATTATTTTCCCCACTGAATTCCCTTCAATTCATAGAAAATGAAACAATCTGCAACCATTTGCAATGATTTTTAGCAAGTATGAAATTGTGTTAAGCAATTTCCAGTTATTGCAAGTGCTCAGTATTCTCCCCATAGGACCTCTACGTGGTTATTGTAAGTTTTATATGGGAAGTAGATTTGTAAAGACTGGGCCATGTATGGGCACCCTTTATAAGTCTGTGTAAACTGCTCAGCATTGTCTGAAATGTACTGTTTAGCATTATTCTTAATTCTGTACATTTTCTTTGCCATGATAATCCTCAAAAAATAGAAGTTTGGTTACGACCACTTTGTGATTTCAAACACAGGTGAATTTCAGTGTGATTGCATTTCCTATCATTGAGAACTTGATTTTGCCATCACACTTTTTAACATACCATGCAATAATCCGCCATCCTTTTTATAGTAATGCTTTCTTGAAGCATGTTGCTGAAGCCACATAATTTATTTAGGGACTGTGTGTCTGTGTTTATGTATGTTTTGACATACATGTGTTTTTTTTTTTTTTTTTTCTGTTCTGATCTTCCTCATGCTGCCCCAAGACCGCACTGCCCAAATCCAGTTATGTTCTTGCCCACTATGTCTGCCAGCACCTATGGAGTCTTACTACATGCACACTCCTGTTTAGAACTACAGTCTTTCATACAGCTGTTTCCAGCAACACACACTCACACTTACACACATACTCACACACACACACTCTCTCTCTCTCTCACTCAGAGCACAGAGCCAAAGTGTTTTCTTTTGGCTTAAACCAACTCAGCTTTCCTACATGTGGTCTTCCTCCCCTATGGCGTGAACACTGCACACAGCACTGCTCCCGGGTGGCCTTGGTTCAGTTGCTGGTTTGTCCTAATTGAGTTTCCCTATCTCTGCTGAAGCCTCTTAGGGATGGTTTTCAGCTTCCTATGCATGGATGTTTGTTCTGAAGGTGCCTGTTCTGGGGGAGATGTCCACATGTGCAGTCTAAAACGCATGCATCTTCCCCAGACCCTCTCATGGAGGCTACATGGTCCTCTATTACCTTGGATTCATTGTGGGTGGCCCTCCAGTCATTTGTGTCCCGGGTGGCGTTTGGGTGCAAGGCGAGTAATACACTACCTTCACCCACCACATCCCTCATCTGATGAGTCCGATCCAGAGTTTGATTTTCTTTTTTCAGGCCCAGAAGATGTGGTCCCTGATCCTTGTGATAGCAAGGACCCATTTCCCTCAGCTGCTAATCAAGAAAAGGCACCGAGTCTGCACTTATTACCACATTGTGGGAGATCTTAAGAATTGAGAATACTTCTGGGGTGGCCATGGAGGCGGCTGTCCCCTTTGTGAATGTCCAAATTGCCCTTTAGCTGTCCCAAAACATTTCTCAGTACGTTACTCCTTTGAGGAGGCCTTTTGAAGAAGTAGACCTCTTCTACTGTCTTTGACTCTCCTATTTCTAGGTTGAACAAGGCCATGATACTGGTGGAGGAGTCCCCCTCCTTTAAGGATCCTACCAACAGTAAGGCAGAATGACTCGCCTGTTCCAGGTTTACAGTAGCTGGCTCAGCTCTAGGCCCAGTTTTAGCCATGACTCTTGTGTCACAATAGCTCACCGAGTAAGCCTAGTTTTTATGCTATGGTCTGGGTAAAGAGATCTCTCTGATGTACGTGGAATTGGTGCACCAAACAGTCCAGGGCCTCAAGTCCGTGTGGGACGTCTCCTTGGATGCGGCCCTACTGCTTTTTAAGCGTGGTACTCTGTGATGTTCTGTGGCTGAAGTAGTATTGGTCAGTGGACCAGACATCAAAGAAAGTCTTTGCTGATTTACCTTTCCAGAGTGAGTGGCATTTTGGAGCAGCTCTGTACAACTTAATCAAGAATCTTACGGGAGAGTACCTTTCTCCTGCAATCTAGAAAAGGGAGGTGCTGCATTGCAAGCATGGTCATTCCTTCTTTGCACAAAAGAGCAGCTTTTTCACTTACCAGGCAAGGAATCCAAGCCCTTCAAGGCTCCCACGAATGGCACAGAGCACTCCTGACCTCATAGGCCCACTAAGCCCATGGACAAGTCCTTCTCTGCATGAAGGTTTGACCCCCACCTTTTTCCAAGGTGGGGGATCGCAGCATTTGGGTTGCAGATTTGTGGACTCTGATCCCCCAACAACAGTCATTGAATGGATTCTGTTCATGCTACAAATAGAATTTCTTTCTTATCCGCCAGGAAAGTTCTTTCCCAATCTTTTTTTCTCTGTCTTACCTGCAGGCTCTATATGGAGTTCTGCAGGATCTTCTCCAGTCCGAGATTGCCAGAGTTTCTGGAGCCAGAGAACTCTGAGTGTGATTTTATGGTGAATAACAACAAAATCCCGGTATTTGTGATGTGCTCTCTATAGCTAGCCTATAGTGCAAATTTAAAGGCCCCGTTACACCATTATTGCACACACACACACACGGCAGGACCCAGCCCCCCCCCTTTTTTTTTTTTTTTTGTTACAATGCACCACACTTAATCGCAAAGATGCTTTGTGTTTGTGCATTGTGGTGTGCTTTAAAAAGTTTGTGTGCGTTTGACTAAATGCCTTAGGCTAGGTTCACATTTTGCAAGCCTCATTTTGCGCAGGTGTGGCAGCCCATTCATTTGAATAGGCTGCTGTTCCTTTTGAAAACACAGGGAAAAGGTCCCTGCACCATTTTTGAGAATGCTGCCTGCACGGAAACCATCACAGCAGTGTGGTTCCCAGTGCGGGCAGGCGTGCTGCAGTTTCTAGTGCGTGGGCATGCCATTAAGATTAATGGCACCCCCATGCATCTACTGAACTACAGTTCTGTGCGGTTGGTTGCTGCTGTGCAGCGGCAATAACCCACACAGCTGTGAACCTAGCCTTAGGGTGCCATTCAGAATAAATCCGTCTTGCCGATTGTGCATTGCTGCAATGTGTAGGTATGAAGTTGGTTTACATGTTGGTGTGTGGGTACGTATTTTGTCCCATTTAAGTATAGTTGCATTATAACTGTAAATTATTTTTTTTTTCGTTCTTACAGATAAATGAACTTGATGCAGATTCCTATGACCAAGAACGTTCTGAATACATCATTGGGGATGGATCATGTCCAAGCAGTAATGTTATAGATGTAAGTTTAATTACTACTTTGTGTCTAGATCCATTCCTCTCTATCAGATGTTCATTTTCTATTGTATGTCTTACATTGTATGGCATTGCATATATCACTGCCTGTTTACTATTTATAGCTTGTGCTTTCACAGAACATTATTTCCTCCTTCTGATTAGTGCTTCGGTAAAGTGGTTGTGGCATTCCCAGTCAAGGAAAGTAGTGGCTTTATTAGGTGATCCTACATTGTTATTCGTTAAGAATAAAATGGCAAAATCAACAGGACAGAGGAGCTTTATGCCTCATTTATGTTACTCTATAGATTTCATACTAGCTGCATCTTAAAGGAAACCTTTAGTGAAAAACATATTGAGGCTGCCCTTGCCAATTCCTTTCTGAAGTTGCTAGTTGTCTGGCTAGTTCACTGACCAGCTGCATTAAGTAACACGTGAGTCACTTTACCTGGAACAACTATTGATATCTGTAAAGTTAGACATCTTATCTGTATATTTGTTGAAGCAAGAAGGTAAAGCATACATCTAGGAAAGTAGCATTTGCACATAAAGAAATGGCAATGATTGCCTTTATCTCTCTCAGAAGGTTTATCTTTATCATACTGTACAGGACACCGGAATCAATTCACTTACCATAGGTTATATGCTGCTCAGGTGATGATTGGACACTGGCAAAAGCTTTGATGAGTCCCCCCAGTGTATCCATATAATCCCGCTTTGTGAAGCTACATTATTTTTGCTAGTGTCCCTATGTGATGGACATCTTCTCTTCTTAGAGATGAATTTCCAACAGTTTTTTCACTAGAATTATTTACTACCTTCGTGGTTTATTGGCAATCTTCAGTTTTGTGACCTTTTGAATTTACCTTGGGAACTGTACCCAGAACCCATGACAATGGGGCTGGCCTGTAACATTTGCTTTGGAAACTGGACACTGCGGGACCCACACAAATACCTGCAGCGGCATCACCCACACAGAGGAATGCAGGATCAGCAGGCGAGTGCCATTCTAATGGCAAGCCACCTGCACTGGAAATCGCAACAGTACTGGGAACCTCGATTCCCGTGCAGGTTGCGATTTCCAAAGTACTGTAGGCACTTCTTCCCTGCGTGTACCGGCGCACGGGAGTCCGTTCATATGAATGGACTCTCGTGTCCGCGCAAATCGCATCCCGCACGACCGCACAGATGTAAACCAGGGCTTAAAGTGTGACAGCGCTGAAAATTGCCCTGGGCAGGAAGGGGGACGAAAGTAACCAGTAGGCAAGTGGTTAAATAAACTATTTCTGTCTCCTATCTTTTTTAGCTGGCTCCTAGATTCAAAGCAAATTTGTAAAGCCCTGCTCTGTAGTATACACTGCATCCCTATCCTACAACACATACTGCAGTACCATGAACACAAGCCGTTCATAGGACACAGGTGTACTAGGGCTTGCACTCTTAGAGGGCAATTTATTAGTGCTGGAACAGACAGTATCTGGAGCAGCTATGCATGGCAACCAGTCAGCTTTCATTTTAAAAGCTTAACGGAATAAGCTAAAAACTGAAGAAGACAAAATCTGGAGCTACTGTGCACAGTAACCAGTTCTAATCCATTTTTATTAAATTCACCCCTTAACCCCTTTGCTGCCAAGCCCTATGCTCCACTTTTAAACCCAGCTGGCCAGACCGTTTTTGCTATTTTTCCATTTTTTTTTTTTGGTACCTTACAGCTTTCAGAGTTTGTAAAAGACCCCCCCTAACCATATATTTTCTGAAAGCACATGACCAGTAGAATAAAAAGTAGGTGCTACTTTTTAAGGCTCTGCAATATTTGCGCAAACATTTATCAAAGCAATATTTTTCACTGAAAATACACTAAAATCATTAGCAGATTAAAAACGCAGAAACGTTTTACAAATTTCCTGCTAAATATAAGTTTAACCTGTATTGAGTTAATAAATAACAAATATTTGTAAATTTTAAACGGCACCATTTTGCAAACTGGTAAAAATTGAACGTGTGCAAAAATGTAAATAACCAAAGCTCTCTAAAAATCTGAAGGTTTTCATTTTTCACTCACCGCTCTGAGTTTGTAAAAGACCCCCTAAACCAGTGGTTCTCAACCTTTCTAATGCCGCGACCCCTTAATACAGTTCCTCATGTTGTGGTGACCCCCAACCATAAAATTATTTTCGTTGCTACTTCATAACTGTAATTTTTGCAGTGGGAGGACTAGTGCCACATCATTGGTGTCAGTGGAAGGAGTAGTGCCCCATCACTGATGTCAGTGGGATGAATAGTGCCCCATCGTTGGTGTCAGTGGGAGGAATAGTGCCCCATCGTTGGTGTCAGTGGGAGGAATAGTGCCCCATCGTTGGTGTCAGTGGAGGAATAGTGCCCCATCGTTGGTGTCAGTGGGAGGAATAGTGCCCCATCGTTGGTGTCAGTGGGGGGAATAGTGCCCCATCGTTGGTGTCAGTGGGGGAATAGTGCCCCATCGTTGGTGTCAGTGGGGGGAATAGTGCCCCATCGTTGGTGTCAGTGGGAGGAATAGTGCCCCATCATTGGTGTCAGTGGGAGGAATAGTGCCCCATCATTGATGTGGTGGAGGGGGAAATAGTGCCCCATCTTTGGGGTCAGGGGGGGGAAATAGTGCCCCATCTTTGGGGTCAGGGGGGGGAATAGTGCCCCATTCTTGGTGTCAGTGGGGGGAGGAATAGTGCCCCATTCTTGGTGTCAGTGGGGGGAGAAATAGTGCCCCATTCTTGGTGTCAGTGGGGGGAGGAATAGTGCCCCATTCTTGGTGTCAGTGGGGGGGAGGAATAGTGCCCCATCGTTGGTGTCAGTGGGGGGGAGGAATAGTGCCCCATCGTTGGTGTCAGTGGGGGGGGAGGAATAGTGCCCCATCATTGGTGTCAGTGCGGGGGGGGAGTAAATAGTGCCCCATCATTGGTGTCAGTGGGGGGGAGGAATAGTGCCCCATCATTGGTGTCAGTGCGGGGGGGGGAGGAAATAGTGCCCCATCATTGGTGTCAGTGCAGGGGGGGGAGGAAATAGTGCCCCATCATTGGTGTCAGTGGGAGAAATAGTGCCCCATTGTTGGTATTAGTCACACAAATGATGGGGGGGCACTATTCCTCCCACTGACACCAATAATACTTACTTTGCTGACCCCTGCTCCAGCCTGGGCTCGCTCTCTCACTTACCTGTCAGCTGTCTTCCTTCTCTGGCCGCTCTCCTCTTCACTTACTCCGGCAGTTCCCTCGATCTTCTTAGATCTACGCGCGCTGCCGCTCGGCTCCTCCTCTCCAAGCTGCACCTCCTCGCCGGTGATTGGCCGCCTGTGTGCCTCTCCTGAGCTACAGTTCCGGTGGCCAATCAGCGGCGAGGAGGCGGAGTTGTTGAGGGATCCCAGAGGTGTGGCCAGGTGACAGGGCAGCGTGTCATCCCGCCCACACATCGACTGAGTCAGAGGAGCGGTGTCTCGGTTCCTAAGACCATCGGAAATATGTGTTTTCCGATGGTCTTAGGCGACCCCTGGGAAATGGTCGTTCGACCCCCAAAGGGGTCGCGACCCCCAGGTTGAGAACCGCTGCCCTAAACCATATCTTTTCTGAAAGCACATGACCAATAGAATAAAAAGAAAGTGCTACTGATTTGTAAGACCCTGCAATATTTGTGCAAAATGTTTATCAAAACAATATTTTCACTAAAAATACACTAAAATCATTATTAGCAGATACAAACACAGTACATTTTACTAAAATCCTGCTAAATATAAAAGCTTAACCTGCTAGATTCCTACTACGGCCTTGTTCAATGTGGTGTACTAAAGAGACATCAGGTGTCTAAACAGACCTATAATGTGTCTTTGAAACAGAGAAAGGGACTGAAGACAGCTGCTCTTGCGAGATGTATATGGCTGTCATTCAATCTGAATGGCACCTCAGCATCTCAGCCCTCACAGCTCAATTGTGGGTGTGGGAACCAGAGGGAGACTGCATGGTCAGTAATTCAGTAGTGAGGCCCCCACAAGATCTCTGACCCGCCATTTGTCTGCTTGATTAGTAATACTTATGGCTCCGCTCAAAGCAGGAGAGGAGCCTCTTTGCTGGATCTTCAAGGAAACCGGGTACTGGCATATCAGTGGATCAATCCAGAAAGTAAAATACAAGCATTTGGTCCACCATTTGTCTGCCCTATAGTTAGGTTTTATCTTAACTTTCCTTTCCTATCTTATCTGTAACAAAATTGCAATTTCCCCTAACCATTGTGTTTTGGGTTTTTTTTTTTTTTTTGTGGTATTTGATTATTTGGGTTTTTTTTTCCTTAACCACTGAAACAGCCAGGGTATTGCTGGGAGGATTGTGGCCATGGGCCTCATGAACCAAATTGTCTTGCATGCTGTGACTCCATAATCCTTGAGACTAAGTAATTATAAATAATAAATGCACATGTTTTTGCAGGTAAAAGAAGTGTGTATATATTACGATTTGTTTTTTTTTTCTTTTTTCTTTACAATGCAGCCTTTAAGGCCGGTTCACACCATAGAAATTCAGTCCCAATTTGTTCTGGACATGTTTCTGCATGCGTATTTTTTTGATGATTTCTGTCCTTTTCTTTTATGTATTCCGGTGTATTTTTTTCTTTTTTTTTTTTTTCTTTCTTTTTTTCGCCTTTTTTCCTTCCCCTTAAATAAGGACGTGTACGTTCCAGTGCATTTTTTATGTGTTTTTACCATGTTCCATTACAGTTCAGTGCAGAAAAAAAATGTAGCATGTTCCAGTGAATCGCACTTGAACTGACCGCAGTGTTGTGAGCTATGCCATTGGAAACCATTTAACCTACTATCAATGCATTTTATTGCAAAAAAAAAACAAACAAACTGGACTGCATGTGGTGTGAACCATGACCGTTTTTGTGGCCTTTTGGTATCACTGTTCTGCTTCTCATGGGATTTTTTTTTCCTCCTCTTGGGGCTAGTTCACACCACAAAAATGTACTCTGGATTTGTTCCTGATACATTTTTTATTACAGTTCACACCACATGTTCCATTGCATTTTATTAATGTGTTCAAGTGCAGTTCTGAGCAGAAAAAATGCAGCATGTTCTACTCCTTTTTTTTTTTTTTTTTTTCCCTGCACTGGAACTGACTGAGACTGTGAACTATGCCCATGTAATCTACTGTTCATGCATTTTTGATACAGAAAAAAATGCACTGAACTGGATCTAGCGTGAACTGGCCCTTATACAGGTTGCTCTTTGAGGAGGTTAGTTCCACAACCTAGAGCCCTTGCTACTCTATTTTTCCTTGGAATAGCTCACTTCCATACTAGCAGTATGGCACATCATAAGCAAGAGGGTACTGGACCTGATGCTGGTTCTCCTTTTGCTTACCTGGAGTTTTTATTACCCCTAGGGATTTTTTTTTTTGTTTTGTTGGACAGCTTGACATTTTTTTTTTTTTTTGTTTTGTTTAGTTTTGCTCACCTTCAGGATTAGGGGTCAGGCATGACATCTGTGCCTCCTTTAGGACCTACCCCCTTCAACTTCTTTACAGGAAGGACCCCCCGGATTTTCTCCCTCTACTTCCACCTGTCTGGGTGGTCATTTTGCTCCCTTATTTTAGGGTTCTTTCCTTCCTTCCCTACCTTAGCTAGTTCTCCTGTTGAAGTTGGGGTCTTGGGCCTATACAGCACCTAGCGACCATACTACACCTTTAAACTGAGCCATTACCTGAATTTCTGTTGCACATTTGATTGGTCAATTGCTGCTCTGCCTTAACTATTGCTTGTACTGGCATTAAGGTTCTTCTATGGTTTTACAGTTTGAGGCTTGTTGATCCTGCTTTTTCCTCTGTGCCTGTTACTTCTGTTTGGCTGTATTGTTGCTCATTGTATTGTGTATTGTTGCTTTTTTTTTTTTTTTTTTTTGTTTGGGGACAACCATGGTCAATGAATTGATTCCTTTGTCCTGTACTGTAAAATAAATATGAGAGGAATTTTGTCTTGCCTGTTAATTTCATGTCTTGGAGTACAGTAGAGGACACAGACAACACTCCCCTATTTTCATGTATTGTCCTGCATTGCTTGCTACAAAAGTGAGGGCACAGATCCGGGTAGAGTTATGGGGTGGATGCTCAGGGGCCATGTCCTCAAAGTTTTGCTATGTGTCCAATCACCTATACCAGCCTATAACTCTGGGTATATGAATATCAAGTCTGTGTCCTGTACTGTATTCCAAGATATGGAATTTAAAAACAAGTCAAAATCGATCTTATGGTTACTCAAAATCTTTTTTTTTTGCTTAACTGTCAGGAGACACAGGGTCCTAGGAGCATGGACATCTTTTCTCCCACGAGAAAAGAACAAACAAACACCATACTTTCCCTTTAAAAATGTCTTGGGGCAGAAGCTGGGAGTACAGTGCCTACAACACAATGTATGTTGTGACCCTTTTTTAAATGTGTAGCATGTGCCACATTAGTGCACACTATACCCTGCACCATATTGCCTGTTTTTACACATCCATTTTTCCACTGCCTCCCCCTATTTGGGCCTGAGTTGAAACACTGCTGGCTCCCTATGAAGGACCCAAGGTCATTCCTTTGCTGCCACCTACAGTAACTTGGTCATAGAAGGTTTCCTAACCTCTGCTGCAGCTATGTTTAGTGAGTACCCTTACTGGATTAGCTCACTTCCATACTAGCTTTATGGCACCTCATAAACACTGGACCTGATCCTCTCACAAGATCTTTGGCTGCCAACTGGTATTCTCTCCCATTCTCAAAGTTTTAACAGGTGGATGTTGAGGATGCAAGTTTCAAGCACAAGGTCTTTCAGGCAGCTGTTTGAGCTTCAGGTAGCCCCCAGTTCACCCTGTTGTTTGTAGACATTTTAGCGTGTTTGCTGTGTTGCCCATTCTTAGTTGGACTGCTTTGGGACTTCCCAATGTATCGGACTTCCTTCTGACCCTGTATTCATTGAGGCGCAATTAAGAAAACATGATTTATGACCTACTGTAAAATCATTTTCTTTGAGTTCATTAAAAGACACAGGTCCCACCCATCTGTATTGGATAATTTTTACTACTGCTTTTGGACAAAACTGTAGTATGATGGGAGTGGGTGATGGTTATATACTGCCTGTTCCAACCCTTTTTTTTTTTCATATTAACAGTTACAAATCTCCTGCAGTTGGCACCATAATTCAGTGTCTCAGAATTCCTTCTGAGCCTTTGTCCCTTAATGAAATCCAAGAGAATGATTTTACAGTATGTTAGAAATCCTGTTTTAATGAATTGATTCCTGTGTCCTGGGAATCACAGTAGTAGCTGAGGCCTAAGCCATGTTATCTCATCAGCTGTTAAATCTCAAAGCTTCAGTCAAATAAAGAGCTCTCTACAAATATCTACATTTAAAACCATGTTAAAGAGTAAAATATGCACTTACTAAAAATACACCATCATTATAACTTGGCATAATGGAAGATTCTTTGAATATGTACTATCAGTAAGTCTTATATGATATTTTGTATATGCTGAATTAAACTCAAATTCATCTCCACAGAGTCCATGCAGCAGACAGCGAGAAAAAAAATTCCATAGAAGAAAGCCCAGAGAAAAGTGAATATCAGGACACGGTATGTGTGAAGACTTTATAATTTGAACAAGAGTGACCAGACATTTCATTAAGTGGACTACAGTGAATATTTTACAAGTTTCTAAAAGGCAGTGAAAGAGCTGAAAGACCGGAGGATAAGAAAGATGGGAAAAAAAAAGGAAGTGGGGACACAGGCTGGGAGGGGGCCAGAACCACACTGACATGCCACTGCTCCACATTGCATGCTCCTGGAGCAGAATTGGGGTACAATCAAAAAATGCAAGCTGCGCCCCATATCCACTGTGCTACTAAACATGCAAGATAAAAAAAGGAGTGAAATAACATGGAAATATATATAATGCAGGAATATAACTACTGATGGCATATATAGACTAGACTATACATAAAGAAAAAAAAAAAAATTATTACCGGTAATCTTAATTCTCTCTGGTTAAAAAGATTTTTTCCTCCTCATGTACAATACTAAACAGCTTATAAAAAGAACCTATAAACCATAATGACTGTTTGTTTGAAGTTGATACTAAAATAAATACGGCAATGGGACTGGAGTGGCTTGAGTGTTTTCAAAATAGGTGTTCTGCATAACATAGACACCAACAACAAACCTAACTGTATTTTTCATAAGATTTCACTGTTTATGCTGATATAGACGGCAATATAAGTTTATGTGTTAAGCATTCAAAAGTGGTGCAAAATTTATGGATTAATTTAGACCTGGCGGTTCTAATGCTTTCTAATTATAGTTCCAAGGCTTGAAATCTCAACAAGTCTGGTTTATAATTCTGGAATTTTTTTGAATAAAAAATATTTTTTATAATATGGTGTCTATGAACTACCTCCAGAGATGTAGTTGAAGTCCCCATTGTGAATTTATATACAACATGCCTTGTGATAGCATGGGACATGACAAGTCCTCTTTATGGAGAGATCTATGGTCTTATGATGCCCCCATATCTGTCCTCTGACCTCCAGAACATCTGATCAAACGAAGATCGGTTTGATCAGATGCTTGTTCAAGCCAGTAACAGTAAGTGACAAAATCCTCATTGCATTCAGTTTTTGACATCACACAGTGGGAGGAACAACATCAGTTCCTCTCACTGTGTCCCAGGAACTGGATGCCACCTGTCACATCCTTACCGGGCTCCCCAATCGCATGGGAGAACCCTGTAAAGGTTGCAGCAGGAGAGTGGTGGGACCCCCTTTCGCTGTTTGTAATCCAACTTCTTCTTAGCTGCTAGGATTGCTTTTACATTCATGGAAGTCACTGGCCCTAAAAAAAAAAAAAAAAAAAAAAAAAAGATACCTAGCTTATCACTGTAGCGATAATGGAGAGATTACCAATTCAGTGCTGAACGGTAAGCAGTAAAAATCTGGTTCCGGGGAGTAGAGTATATTTGCTCCATGGGGAAAAAAGTATCTTTCATGTGAGGACAGGAATGAAACTTTTGAGAAATGTGAGATGGCTGGTTTAAATGTTAGAGATCAGAATAATATGCAGAGTTGATGGGGTTATAAGAGGGTGGAATGGGAAGATAAAGGGTATGCAATAGGCAGTTACCTAGAGACTGAGAATAAAGAGAGGTATAAATATTTGTATAATGGTGGTTGGGGATTATTATAATTTTTCTTTTCTTTTTGGTGGGGTGGGGTAAAAAATTGTATGGATATGAGAACTGATGATAATACATGTATTTATTATATTATGAAACAAAATGTAATAAAGGAAGAATTAGTGGTGCACCAAAATGAAAATTCTGGTGCCAAAACGGAAACCGAAAATTCAAAATGCACTTGGCTGAAAACCGAAACCGAAATGCGCAGTTTTTAAAAATGAATATATATTTTTTGGAACAAAATATACTTTGCTTAAAAAAACAATATGTACCCCATTTTTTTTGTAAAATATGAAAGAGGATGTTACGGCAAGTAAATATATACCCAACATGTAACGCTTTAAAATTGTGTGAAACTGCAGTACTTACAAATCTCCATGGGTGATGCTTTAAAAATGTGTACAAGTTAGCAGTGTAAAGTTACAGAGGAGGTCTTGTGTGAGAATTATTGCTCTTGCTCTGATGTTCGTGGCGATATCTCACGTGTGTGGTTTGAACACCATTTACATATGTGGGCATGGCATATGTATGCGTTCACCACTATGTGTGAGCACAGAGGGACGGGGGCACTTTAGATTTTTTTTTATTTGAAATTTTATTAAAATTTTTTTTTTTTTGCACTGTCCCTTTTAAATACATTTTCAATCATGCATCCCTTGTGATAGAAATAAGTGACAGGTCCTCTTTATGGAGAGATATGGGGTCAATAAGACCCCACATCTCTCCTCTGCAATGTAAAGCATTTATCAAAAAAAAAAAAAGCATTGATCTAATGCTATAAAAAAAAAAAAAATACCAGAAATGACATCGCTCTGGTCCTCCAAGGGCATAGAGATTCTGAGTGGAGGCCATCTTTCCTTCACTCATCTCTATGCCCAGTGCTGGGATCACTTGATGGTTTCTCAGGTAAGACTGAGAACTACCGAGCGGCGGCTTACGGGGGGGGGGGGGGGGGGGGGGGGCGGTATCAAGGGGCGGGGTGTTTTCCGTAACCTGCATCGGTGCCTTTTTTTTTTTTTCGGCCAACGGCCGAAAGGGGTGTTTTTGGGCGAAACTTTTCTTCCCTAGGAAGAATAAGTTGACTACTGGGTCTGTGAGCTTTTATTGGACTTTTTAACTTTAGGCAACTGTTTCCCAGATTTGTAAGGACTTCTTTTTTCCAATTTCTGCCTGACTGACGTTTCGGCCTCGTCTGCTAGGGTTCACATGATAAAGTCTTGTTTGATCTGCAGGCAGTCCTCTTTCTGATGTAGAACATATCACTATTGCAATTCCCAAAAGATATGGGAAGCCAGTGGGTGATTTCAGTCCACCAGCATCTGTCTATAACCAGTCCAGACATTTAGGGGTGAGCGTGAGACTGCCTCCTAACTGCTTTGAATAGTGTCAAAACTGGAAAACAAGCCATTTAATTGCTGACTAAAGGGGCCATGTGTGATTGTTAATGCATGTAAGGATACCACAATGCTTGAGTTGCTGCATATCTTACCCATTTTGTTGCGACAGACTACATATGATTTTGTTAACTTTTTGTGTAATGGCATGCTTTCATGATTTGTAATTTGTTTCGTAGGATTCACAGTCTAGCATGGGAAGTCCATCGACTCGGATTTCACACAGCATTATTGGTGCAGAAGATGAGGAATTTGATGCTGAACCAGAACAGGTAAATATACAGTACCAAGAATACAGACACAGCTGGATAACTGGAAAACTGTAGTCTTCATTTAATAACCCTTTCGCTGCCAGACCCTGCTCTCCACTTTTAAACTCTGGTGGCTAGACCGTTATTGCAATTTTTCAATTGCTTTTTTATTTTTCCTTTACAGCTTTCAGAGTTTGTAAAAGACCTCCCAAACCATTTTTTTTCTGAAAGCACATGACCAGTAGAATAAAAAGTTGCTACTGATTTGTAAGGCCCCATGATATTTGTGCAGTTGATTATCAAATCAATATTTTCTTTAAAAATACACTAAAATCATTATTAGCAGATAAAAACACAGCTAATTTTACATAATTCCTCATGAATGCCACATAAATATAAAAGCTTAACCTGTATTGAGTTAATAGACAAATATTTGCACATTTTAAATTGCACTTTTTTGCGACATGGTGAAAATTGGACGTATGCAAAGTTGTTGGCAAAAATGGGGTAAATACAGTTGGTAAGGAGACATTGAGTCGCTTCCTCATCGCCTGTCAGTAGCCTCTGGAGCACAATCCGAGCATGGATTGGGCTTCCGCGGCAAGGAATATTTAGACTCATCTCTAAATCTACCCTTACTAGTTTTTTTTTAATCTTATTTTAATTACATTTTTTATTTTATTTTTTATATATATTTTTTAATTGCTTTTTCAATACTTCTACACATTGGAGAGACATCAGGGGTCTAAACAGACCCCTAATGTCTCTTTTTTTAATGCAGAGAAAGGGACTGGAAATGGGATCGCTGGTGGGAGGCAGGTGACAGTGAGGGGGGCAGTATCTATGCAGTTAACACTGCAGTTGGCGGAAGTGGCAGCAGTGGGAAGCCAGCAATTGCATGGGATCCATGGGGATCAGTGTTGGTGGGGGGGACTGATGCTGAAGGAGGGGTGAGAGTTGGTGCTGGGGGGGTCACTGGTGGAGGCAGGGGACTGTGGGGGCAGCACAGGCATTTTAGACAGTGCAGGAGAGTAGGAAACCATGGACGAGAGGTAAAGTGTCGGTGGTATCGACCAAGAGGTTGGGGGGTAGGGGTCATTTTAGATTAATAGCTCTGATCAGCGGCTTGTTATCCTTTGTTTGCTGAACATTTTCGCTATAAGTTCATGGCTGTTGAAGTGACCATGAGCTTAAAGCAGAGGAGGAATGTAGGTACGAGCCTGGCCTTTTGGAAGCAGTGAAAGGGTTAACGTGATTCTAAAGCCTAAACCTTTTTTTACTTTAATGCATTCCTTGCATTAAGGTAAGAAATTTTTTGAATAGCAGGATGCCCCCTAAACCCCCCAACATACCACCTCACTAGCTTACTAGCTTGCCTGGAATTTCAATTAGGAAGAAGCAGTCAGAAAATTAACAAAGTTCTGGTTTCCTTATTAGAAGCCCAGTATACTGTGCCATAAAAGCACTGCATTTTCTAGAAATAAAGATATAATTTATATAAAAGGTAGCTTTTTAAAATGTGTTATTATAGAAATAAATTATAATAAAATCCACCAGTAACTATTCTTTCCTGAACACACTTCCCAGTGCGGTGTGTTGCATTAGCATGCGTCATAACATGCATTACCACAACACATGTAATACACATTAGTGTTTTGCAGTGCTATTTGTTCTGTATGGTGCCTCACCACTGCAAGGCAGCTCCAATGCACATGCAGAAAATGGTGCTTGTCCATTTTTTGGACATTTTGCTGCGTTGCAAGTTGATTTCATGTTAATGTACTGACGTAATGCAGGATTATGGAAAAAACACACTTTAATGCAACGCACAATTATGTCAAGGGCTGAATGGTTTCCTAATGGTGTTATAAAGGTTCTTATTTTCTTTCAGCCGGTGAACGATCAGTGTAGCTGCTTCCTAAGTATGGATATGTTGAAGACTCATCCTGCTCACCTTGCGGTCTTCATGTTCCATGTGGTTTCACAGTTTGACCCGGCTCCATTGGTATGTTAAAACCTATATTTATGATCAATTACTTTATTTATTTTTTGTAAATGTGACACCTGTGGTATGCTCTTCTCTTATTGCCCAGCTCTGCTACTTGTATGGTGACCTTTATAAGCAAACAAACCCAAAGGAGACTCGCAGAATATTCCTGGAATTCTACCAGTTCTTTCTAGAGAGGACAGCGGTGAGACATATTTTTTCTTTAATTTCTCTGTATTTTATGTTTCCTATGTGATCTGATCTGATCATTCTTTGTTTGCAAGCTATGAAATATCAAAATAACAAAAGGGTAAGTAAAATAATTGCATATTTTGAACAAAGTTGGGTTTTAAAGGGGTTCAAACTTGAAACCTCCATCTTTTATTCTTTTAGAGGTGTCCTCTTAGATGTTATTTTTATAAAGTTTTTTGGATAGAGAGGAGAAAGATTAGAACACCTCAGGTTTTTATTGCACTCTGTGTCCCTGTTAGTGGGATTCAAGATGACTTTCTCTATTTGTCCTGTTTACTATTATCACCAAAAATGAAGGCAAATCAAAAATTTGTGGTTGTCACCAGAACAGTAATAGAGGAGTGAATCATCCAATGGGGCCACTAGTTCTGGTGACTACTAGATGTGAAACCTCAGCTTTTAATAGTTTAATTTTAGTATGCCAGTTTAAGGGTAATTATTTTTTCCAAGAAAGAAAATCTTAAAAGGATCAGCCCATTAAAAACAAATCATTCAGCTTTTGTTAGGTTGTGTAGGTTTCATTTACATTTATACATTCAGTAACGTGCTCTTAGGTTCGCTGTGTTAAAGCAGCCTATTCAATCTGAATAGGGTGGCAGTGCATCTAACACACTAAATGTTGGCTTTGTACCTTTGGCATGTGAGTTGTTGTTGGCTGCAGTGCAAGTGCATCGGCTGCTACTGTAACAGTGTGTTGCTATTCAAAATAATTAACACTGCATATTTTTGTAGTATGATGCATGCTTCACCCTACATTATGTTAATGCACATTTTACCCCATGTTGATGCAATTCTGAAATGGAAATGGAAAACAGCTATATTTTTCTCTCATTCAGCCCACAAGCCGGGCAGAAGAAAATCAAACTGTTCCCTCTTCCATGCTAACAGTGTGACAGGAGGAATTTTCGCTGCCAGCTATTCTGTTCAGGCATTTGCCTCAATACAGTAGGGCTGCTGAACAGTGACTGCTTCTGATATAATGCAGTTACTGTTTGGTCAAAAAAATTCCACCTGGCTCTGACAATTTTTGAATCGACTTTTATCAAACTTGGTATTTCTTGGAGGGCATCTTGTTCTCTCGCACCATCTATGGGGCCTTTAACATGCATCCTTTGCCTGTAATGACTGAACTAGCTTACAGTATTTTGTGTAATCAGATTCAATCTTTCATCTTTAGATTGAAATGAGTCCCCAAAGCTCACCCTTTTAATTGTGTGTGGATGGCTTTTAATGTGACTTCAAAGAGATACAATACATAGGCGGAAAAAGCACATACTTTATGCTAGGATACAGCTACTCATTTTAAAGTAAATATTTCAAACTAGACAATGTATGCAATGAAGGAGCAGACACCAAAAGTTACCTGGATTTACTTTTAAGCTTTTCACAAATCTTGTGTTCTGAGATTTAGCAGCTCTCCTTTTACATGAGCTTGCAGTCCTGTCATCTAGGTTTAGCGAAAAACTTTGGCCTGCCTTTCCTACTTTCTTATTACAGTGTAGGTCAGTTACTGGGATCCCTGTAATTGCATTGCACAATGACAGTGGAGTTCTGGCCAGCACTTTGACTTGGAGCTGGAGTTGATGATTGCAGGCAGTACACTGTTAGATTAACACCCGGTTACATCAAGTGCGATTTGGCATGTGATTTGCATGCCATGCAACTTGCAAATCATATGCTCTATTGTCCGCTATTAGAGCGGTCATATTGGTGCAGTTTCCACTTGGTCAGAGTTGCATCGATTTGTAAAGTAGTACATGCACTATTTTTGTTGCGATTTGCATAGACATCTGTGTCAGATGTCTTGCAAATCGCAACTGAAATCGGTAGGTCACCTGATTTTGAAATTGTGCGACTTCACTGTAAGTCGCACAATTTCAAAATCAGTTTTGATTTAACGGGGGGTTTAAGGAACTACCTGGAAGCACATGAGAAGCCCGGCAATAATTTACACTAATATCACATACACAAACCTTGTAGCTGTTTTTATGAGCTTATATTAATAAGGATTTTCTAATGTGTTCAATTTACCTTAAAGGAAAAGGTCCTAGTGGCAAGTTTAAATCCTATGAGGAAAATTTTATATATATATATATATATATATATATATATATATATATATATATATATATATATATATATATATATATATATATATATATATATATATATATATATATATATATAGTGTGTGTGTTCAATTCTGAGATCTTTGTGTATTTCATTTGTTGTAGAATCTTCGGGTTTCTGTCCCAGAAGACCTTGCACTGGAGTTGGGTAAGTTAATCTGTCTGTCTTACATAAAGGACTTAAGTGGCCTTGATCTCTCAAAGTACACTGCTTCAACCTAGCTAAAAGTTTTCTTTACCAACGTAGAAACATTTTTTGCTCAGATATTTTATACGCATAATTTTTTTAGCACGCCGTTAACATTTTATGTTACCTAATAGAGCACAGAAGATGGTGTTTTGATTTTTACACAGGCCTTGATGTACATCTATATTTATCCCACAATTGAGTATCTTTATAACTTCAAGAGATCCTCTAGAACTAAAACTGACCTACACTATTTGCATGATTAAAACTCAAAGCCGGCCACACATGGATTGCAATTTGACTGGTTCACCAAGGACTGGCTGAATTGCTATCCATGTATGGGCATTCTAGTTGTACACAAGTTGATCTATTGAATGACTTGTGTACAACCAGCCTGTTGGGTTTTTCCCAAGCTAGTGCCGCTGGTTATAAGTCAGCAACACTAATCGTGTTCTGCTAGCAGGGAAGGCTTCCCACACTGCCCACCAGCAGAACACAGTAGAGCTGTAGGAAGGATTTCTCCATCAACACTGACTGTGTTGAGGGAGGAGTGAGCAATTTTCTTTCCTTTTACCTGTGGTGGAAGAAAAGAAAATTTGCATAATGTATGGCCTGTTTTGGGCTAGGTTCATATACTGTATATGCGACTGCAGGAATGCATGTAAATTGCACGCATTACTGCACCTGCAGGCACAACTAGTTGCTTTTTAGCAGCCGTGTGGTACCGCCACACATCTGAAAGCACAGTGCAAAAGCACCACATGGTTTTCGGGTAGCTGCAATTTAAAAAAAAGTGCAGGGAACTTTTTCCTGTGTTTCCCATATGTACAGCAGACCATTCAAACTAACTTAAATAATTGTTTCTATAGTCTGATGTCCTGTATAGGGGCTGAATGTACCTTACTGGAATATACAGAAGAGGAGTATAAAACATAATATACAGAAGAGGAGTAGAAAAAGGAGTAGCAAGGGAAATCATTCGGTAGGATAATACTTGGACCATGATTCCCAACATTCTTTTGAAATTGCTAATTTCCTGACAGTCCATCCTTTTAATACTGTTCAAGTTGCAGTCACTGCATACTGTTTGAGTCACTGCTTTGGGGCAGTTGTAAAGCAGTTGAAGTTAAATTTCCTAATCTGCATATTTATTTCAGGTCAGTGCAACAGAAAATCTGTGTGACCAGCAACTAGCAGTTTATAAGGTGGTCCACAAAAGCCACCTATACCTTTCATCACTTTTCCGCTTAAAGGAATAAAAATAAGCAGCAATGCACTCTTGGTATAGTTACCATAGGCAGACAACTGAATGTGTTTAGCTTTCAGCACATAAGAATTCACACATCCATCTTTCTCAGGGAACTGTTTGTCAGTGCTTTCAAGATGGAGTGGGGGAACCTGAACCAGAAGACAGCAGTGACAATAGGAAAGCTTTATTACCTGCTGATTGATGGATTTTTGGGATCCTTGGTCACATCATCCTATTCTGATGAACATACAGTATAACACAGACTAAGGATTTGTAGAGAAGAGGATTGCTGTGAAGATGAGAGCTTAATTAGTCAGAGAATAAAAACTGTAAGAAGCATCACACTCATATTCCAGTGCTCATAACCTGTTGTAAAAAATAAACAGAGGCATTCATACAGTCAAAAAAAAATGTTCAAATTATTGAATAAAAAAAAGCTATGAGTATATTATGTTTCAAAATGATTCTGCTCACTAAAGAGATACAGACTATTTATGTATATTAATTGGGGACGGGGACTTTATCTGAAATATCCGTGCCCTGAGATATACGTTTCCTTTCACAGAAAAAAGACGACCAGAATTAATACCCGAAGATTTGCTTCGACAGTATGTCCACACTATGCAGGAGAAGGTGTACCCAGAAGTCCAGAAACTGTTGGAAGACTTCAGGTAACTTAAATTTTGTGTGTTGACCTGACTCAAATAAAAAAAAAATAGCAGGGAAATAATAACTCGGCTATAAATTCACTTTGCCTGACAGGCAGAAACGCAGCATGGGACTGACCTTAGCGGAGAGTGAACTTGCCAAACTAGATGCCGAACGCTCCAGAGAACGCCAGACGCTTGAAAAAGAAAGACTATGTGCCGAACCAATTTTGCAGAAAATTGATGACATTTTGTAAGTTAAGCTCTGTTTTTAGTTGAACCAAACCACTGATATTCTTAAGGGTTAGTTCACCTTTATAAAGAACTGCTTTTGCAGGTAAGGGGTGTCTGTAGATAAAAACAAACTGTGCAGCTCTGACTAAAGTTGAATAATGTACTTTGCTTTAGGTGTAGGCCATTTACATACCTCATGGAGCCTGGCTGGAATACTTCCAGGACATCCTTAGGACATTAAGTGAGGCCAGGTCATTACTGCTCACCTCCTCCATCATAGGAGCAAGCTTTTTCTCTGACCACCTTCTTCTTTGACCTTCACAGGAATAGTTCACCTGGCTTACCCTGCACTACTGTCATGCAACAGAAAGCTAACCATGGGTGGAACTCATGGGTAGGATGTCTTGCCTTTTTAGTCAGTCTGTTGACTGGGCTTTGTCCAGCCTTGTAGCCTTAATATAATGTATAATAAGAGTTTTTGCTCTGGTCTAGCATGTCCATGTGTCATGGTCCAGGCAGAAGGGTCCCTCGCTTAGAGCAGCCTGGTTGTATTTGGGATGGTGAGCCCAGGGTGGCTTAACAAAGCACCAGAGGTCTGGTGGATCTGACGACAAGGACAAACACATGATTTGTGTGAGGAGATCTCTTTCCTGCCTCACCTGCATCACTTCCTAAATATGGTATCTGTTTATGAAAGAGAGAAAAGCCGAGGTGCTGATGATCACAGCTGATCTCTCAGTTGTGCCAGTTTATGAAGCTGAGGTGAGGAGCAGAGAACATGTTCTTCACTTCTCATCACAGGACACACCCTTCTGTCTTTCGATTATACAGAGATGGCCAGTTTATGAAGGTAAGATCTGAAGATCTCACTGGCCATCTCTTTAAAAGATCTCCATCCTAGATTCTCCAGCCCAGAGCTGGAGAATCTTGGTGAGAATCTGCTGTGATGTGAGCAAGAAGGCCTCCTACTGTATATATGTTTTATATATATGTGTGTGTATGTATATATATATATATATATATATATATATATATATATATATATATATACATACATACATACATACATACATACATACATACATACATACACATACATTCAGTATAGTTATATTGTATTGTCATTTAGAATGCATTCACATCTGAGCAATGCAGAATTGGTGGCAGAGCTGCACAATTCTTGCCGCAGTTCCAAATTGTGCTAAAATTGTGTTGAAATATGCACTGCGCTTTTGGGTGCCATTCATTGTTGTTGGCACCCCGAATGCTGTTAGCAGACATGCATTTTGCCGCACATTTTGTCATTTGACAAATACGCCATCAACGCATCATGGAGCTTCGACAGTGCGGCTTGCCCTGAGATACTGGATCACCAGACTTTGTGGTTGGCCAGTCACGGTCCAGTCTGCAGTGGCATACATCAACCACCAAGTTGGTGCCAAGAGTTGGAGGGCTCAAAAGGATGTAGATCACATTCTAGGTTGGGCAGAAGCACATGTTCCAGTTTTGTCAGCAGTGTTCATTCCAGGTATAGAGAATTGGCAGGTGGACTACCTCCGTTGTCGTCGGCTGTTTCTGGGTAATGGGCTCTGCATCCCGATGTGTTCTCAGCAATCTGCCAGCGTTGGGGGTACCCGGACATAGATCTATTGGCGTCCAGGTTCAACAGAAAGGTGGACAGGCTTGTGTCCAGGACGCGGGACCCGCTTGCGATAAGGGTAGGAGCCTTTGGGATACCATGGGATCAGTCTTCCATAATCTGTGCCTTTCCCCCGATTCAGCTACTCCAACGGCTATTATGCAGGATTTGAGACAAGGTGATTCCGGTGATATTAGTGGTACCAGCCTGGTCCAGGAGGTGTTTGTACACTGAACATTGTCATGCTAGCAGTGGCGGATCCATGGCCTCTGCCAGATCGGTCAGACCTGCTGTTACAGGGACCTATATTGCACCCAGCTTTACGGTCGCTGAATTTGATGGCATGGATGTTGAAACGCAAATCTTGAAAGATAGGGGAGTGTCAGACTTGGTTATCCATACAATGTTGAATGCTAGGAAGCTGGTTTCTAGGAACATTTATTATAGAACTTGGAGGGCATATATTTCTTGGTGTGTGGGTTGAAATTGGCATCCCAGGAAATATTTGACAGCCTTGGCTGTTTTCTTCCAAAGACCAACTGCTTCTCATACCTCACTTTTTGGTTTGTACCTTTTTAGAAGGAGTGATGTCAGACAGCCCCTGTGTCCTTGGGTCTTGAACGTGGTCTTGGCAGTTTTACGGAAACCACCATTTAAACCTATTAGGGAGATTCCGTTAGTTCTGCTAACTCGAAAAGGTTCTGTTTTTGGTGGCAATCACCTCTGCAAGAAGGGCATTGGAGTTGCTCTTTCTTGTAGGGAACCATTTTTGGTTTTAGATCAGGATAAGGTGGTGTTACGGCCTCATCTGAACTTTTTGCCAAAGGTGGTTTCTAGTTTTTATCTCAATCAGGACATTGTTCTGCCTTCATTCTTTCCTAAACCTCAGTCAGAAAAAGGAAGATCTTTGCATGCCCAGGATATAGTTCGGGTCATTTTGAGAATGACAACGCAGATTAGAAAGACTAATTTCTTGGGGGTCTTTTGCCAGTAAGGTCCCAGGAGAGGATAGATGGCATCCAAATCAACTATTTCTAAGTGGATTTGTCAGTTAATCATTCCAGGCTATAGTTTAAAGAGCAAGGTTCCACCCTTTCGAGTGAAAGTGCACACTACCAGGAGTGTGGTCTTGGGCTATCCACCACCAGGTATCAGTTGCTCAGGTTTGCAAGGCTGCTACATGGTCATTGGTTTATACATTTACAAGGTTTTACCAGATGGATGTCAGTGCCACAGAGGATTCTGCTTTTGGCTGCAGTGTTTTACGTACAGCTGAATAGCTCCTTTTTGGGATGTTGGCGGTGGTTATTGTGATGTCACCCACCCCTCAAGGTTATTGCTTTGGGGCATCCCATATAGTCATCATTATGGCCTGCTCTGTGCCATGTGATGTACAAAAAAGAGAAAATTTGATTTTTTTCTACATGCTTACCTGTAAAATCCATTTCTTGGAGTACATCACGGGACACAGAGATCCCTCCCCTATTTCTGGAATTTCGTTGCTTGCTACAAAAGTACTTCCTGTGTAGGATGGGTTATATGGGGAAGGACTTCCTGTTTGATTGGTCGGCTAGTGTCCATTCTTCTGTTGGTGGAATACAACCCACATAGTCATTATTGTGGCCTGCTCTGTGTCCCAGGATGTACTTCAAGGATTTTACAGGTAAGTATGCAGAAATTTTTTTTCTGTATGGAATGCATCTGGAACGTGGCAGAAAGCATTAAAAACACACTGGAACACACATCCTTAATTTAGATGGGACAAAAAAATTCACTGGAGCGCATCAAAAACGTATTGTGCAGAAACACACCCGGAACATGGAAATTGTGGTGTGAACCAGCCCTGAAAGCAGGAGCTTATGTGTAGCATATCCTGTTTGCCAGGGGACTTTTTCTAGTTGCCAGAACAATTTGGTTACCAGAATTTGTCCAGCCTTAATTTTATTAAACTGGGTTCTGTTGTGAGATTTTTTTTTGTGTATTTTGTTAAAAAACAGACAAATAGCTATATACAAATTTTAGGATGGTGAGTACATTCAAGTGGGAAGGGCAACAGTAAATTATAACTAAAGACAAAACTTTTTCTTAAGTTTTGGATAGAGTAGAAATGGAGTAGAACACCTATTAAGTTTTTATTGCTGTCTGCACCCTTGTTAGGGAAATTCACTCTCTATTTGTCCTATTTGTCCAGTTTAAACCAGTGTATATCATTTAGTCTGTGTGAAAGTTATAGTTTACAATTATAGTATATGTATTTGAAAATTGATCAGTTCTGATGTACTGATAACCATTTCATGAGGCCCTAAAATGCAAGTACAGTGCAAATAGTCTCAAGTTTTCCATTTTTTGGAAAATGGACAGTCCGAGGTATTTAGTAAGAGGCATGCTGAGGTTTTTTTTTTTAAGTTTTTTTTTTTAAGTGTTTTTTTTTATTTTTTGTGTCACAATATTTTGAAAAATTAATAAATTGATTTTTATTTACAGCATCATCATATGTGATGGTGATCAGGAATACTGACTGGTGACCGTATGTAAAAAACCAAATCAAATACATTTTTTTTTTAATTTTTTCAACTTTTTTTTTTTTTTAACGACTTCCAGTGTGGTCACTTTTTAACCCCTTCCTGTCCAGGCCAATTTTCAGCTTTCAGTGCTATCACACTTTGACAATTGCGCGGTCATGCAACACATATGAATTTTTTAGCATTTTTATGAGACAGATAAAACTTTATTTTGGTGGTATCTATTCACCACTGGGATTTGTTTTTGCTCTGTAAATAAAAAATCCAAAAAATGTGAAAAAAAAGTGTTTTTCTTATAAAATTTTGCAAATAGTATTTCATTATAAATCTTGACCAAAATGTATTCCCTTATCTTTTTAGTAAAAAAATAACCCAAATTAGTTTATAACCAAAAATTATAATTTTCCACCTTTTTTTTTTTAATTATTTTTTTTTTTATATTATTTGGTTTTTTTTTACATACTGTCATCCTAGCAGTACAGTGTCACCATGGTGACGCTGTACTACTTGTGGGGGGTGATGAAGTTTTTTTTTTACACTGATAGCTTTTACAGCCTTTATGGGTGTAAAAGCAATCATTTCTCCTTCTCTCTGGCTGCATTCTTGCAGCCATTGAGAACTACTGTGTGAGCTGTGATTGGTCACAGCTTGTCACATGGTACAAGCCTGTTGTGAATAGCCTTGTACCATGTGACCTCTGTGATCATTCACAGATTTCACAGGTAGTAAGCAATGATGTCACCAGTGACATTTTGCTTACTACTCTGCATGTGATCTCTGGTTGGCCAATCAGTGATCACATGATCGGGACCTCGCACAGAGGTCCCATCCAACGATCGGTGTTCCACTGTGTCCGGAGGACACAGCGGGCACCGGATCGCGGTGCTGCGCGCTCCCAGGGAGCGCACACAAGCAGGGTTTGGGGAGGCCGTTTAGAAACGGTCTCCCAAGCCTGCACTGCCACCGTCCAGCCGTTTATATACAATGGCCAGACGGGAAGTGGTTAAACATCATGTCATCAGAGTAGTTTGGTGTCACCATAGTAACTGAGTACTACTTAGGGGGTGATCAGGGATTTTTTTTTTCTCACTGGCGTTGCTTAGAACAGTGATGATCACTGTTATAAGCAATAGTTTTATTGTCATGAATTTCCATTCATGACATCTTGCTTACTGTGTGGCTACATCTAATCACATGGTACAGGGTGTCAAGTACCATGTGATAGCTGTGGGCCACTCACAGCATCGCAACATGTCACGTTCCTGATGGGAGACTGAAATGACGAGGTCGGCCTCACTTGTGTCACTATTCCTGACCCCGCTGGAGTAGGAACAGAGGGAGTCTAGGACCCAGGGGAACAAGAGTGCCAGTAGTTGTTGTTTGCAGCTCTTGCTGATGAAAACCTTGGAAGGCTGATGATCCTCTGATTTTGGCACAGTAATAGTACGCAGAGCAGGTTTTGCAGATTGCCAGGCGTGCACTAGAGCAAGGCAGGTAGTGAGGACAAGAGACAGGAGCAATGTCAAGGAATAGCCAGGGTCATCAACAGTTGGGCAGCACGGTACAGAATCAGAAGGAAAAATCAAGGTCAGGAGCAGAGCCGAAGTCAGGAACCAGTATCAGGAGAGCAATCAGAGTCAGGTGAGGAACAAGCCGGGTCAGCAACAAAGGAATCATACAGGAACAGGCAGGACACGGGGGAGCTGAAGACCAGTCAGCACTGAACATGAGCAGAGACACTCCTTAAATAGGCCGTCTGGTGCCAATCTTCGCCGTGCGCGTGCACGATTGCGCATTTCTGGTCATGATTCGTCTTGCTGGAAATCCCTCACACAACAGTAACCAAGCTGCTCATGAATGAAAGCCATTCATGGCAGTTTGCTTACATAATATCAAGTGATCGCTATGATTTATCTTGAAGATCACATGATGCCCTTGCAGCTCACAGCAGCTGGGTATCGAGAATAGTGATGTGCTATGTCCACCGGACACAGTGGTCATGGGATTGTGCCGTTGCGAGCCCCATGGGAGTGCTACTGCACATGTACTAGACGATGTACTAGCCTGACTGTGCCGCCTGCCCCCAGTAGATGTATTGTGGCTGGGTGGCAAGTGGTTAATTTGCAGGGATTTCCTCTCACTTCCTATTTTGAGTATGGGACAGGAAGTGAAGGAAAATCTCCCCAATGGGACACAGATGACAAAAAAATTGACACGTGTTATAATCTTCATTTTTCTAACTAAATTGCTAATAGTTCTACTATAGTTGGTTTGCTTTGCATGGGCAAAACAAGGTACTTCAAATATGCGCTTGTAATATTGCAATAGAGATGTGATCTTCAGTCACAGTAGTTTGATTTTTTTTTTGTTTAGTGGCCAGTTTGCTGTTGGTATGTAGAAAGAAGTTATTAAAATTTCAAAAGTCTGTTTCACATTAGATCTTCAGATTGGTTATTTGCTATGTTGCAGTCCATTTCTCCTCTTAACATCTCTGCATTCCTTATTACAGACCATCAACACAGACACCTGAGGACGAAAAATGGTAAGATTCGACATAATCTGTACAAAATAAATTCCAAAATAATTTGCTTTATTGTCAATAGTGCTTGGCAACCCTTCTGCTTGTTACCCTATAGTTGCAAAAAATCACCTTCTTCAGTGTCATCTTTTACTTTTTTTAATCAAGAATGGAGAAACCGTATAATGAACTGATCTCAGAGATATTACTAAGGAATCAGAAAAAAAGAAAATGTTGGCTTAGGATCTATACCTCATTATTAAATCTCATAAAACAATCTTCACCCTGAGCAAAATAAAGGAAGCAGAACTACATAGTAAATTTGGCTGCCTGCAAGGGCACTCTCACAATTCATGAATATTCATGTTGATACCATTAGGCTAGGTCTTCTGTCAGGCTCCTCAATGACAACCATTAAAAAAAAAAAAAAAATTAGTAGGAAGGGCAAGACTAAAAACTTCATCAGATTTTTATTGCTGCCTGTACCATTGAAAAGGTTCTAGCCCTTGTCCACCCTATCTAAATATTAAAAAAATATATATATTTACGCTAGAGTTGCACTTTACATCAATGTTAATAAGCAGGCTTGTAACAAAGTTACATAATACAGTACAAACCATTTCTCCAGGTACTGTATCTCAGCTGTACATTATTGGGTTAACAGTATGAAACCATCTTCGGACACCATAGGAGATATTTTTGATCACGCATATAAAGCTGTAATGATCACGGTAGACTTAAGTCGTCTGGAGAAAATCACCAATTAAAATTGCTGTACCTTTCATAACATGCATTCAGGAGTATATATAATTGAGTGTTAAAATAATTGTATCCCTTTGGCACATCAGATGCTCCACATGTTTACATTTTGGAAAACTGTGAGGAAGCGCCACTGCTGGCTTGGTCTCTGTGGTGCTTTTGTGATTTGGACTTGTTATCTTGAAGTGTGTCTTGCTGAAAGTGATTGTAAAGGCTCATTTTTTCCCTTATAAAATAAGAGGTTGATACCTTAGAGCGGCCCCTTCTATCTGTGGGTTTATACCCACAGGATTTTCAACCATTTAAATGTACACTATTAAAATGGTATTTGTGTTTTTACTAATACATTTTGTGTACACTGAGAGCATTAGTTTGGATCTTTATTTATTGAGTGATATATACAACATTAAGGAGAGGTAACACAGAGATGGGACAACATACATGCCTTGAGAAGGGTGGGAGGGTGGACTGTGCCCTGCCGATATGTTGACATTGATTAATCTGTGTTGGAAAATTCCTCCTGTTGTAAGTTCCATTGGGTGTACCTACTGCCTGCTGCATATACAACACTAAGAAGAGAATATTGTTGAGTACTTTGTTGCTAACAGAGGAAGCGGAGGTGTACAACAACATCGTACATTGTTTGCAGTCAGGCTCAGCTTGACCTCCTGTAATTAAGAGGTCTATGCAGAGGAGAGCAGATTAGTATCACAGCACACTGTGGTGGTGTTTAACCCCCCTGGCGGTATTCCCGAGTGTAGCTCGGGGTAAAGTTTCAGTACCACAATCGGTAACCCCGAGCTACACTCAGGCTTACCATGCGGCTCTGCTACACGATCCCTCGATCACTTACCTTGTCCTGCGCTCCCGCGATGTCCCTCCTGCAGTGTCCCCGGCAATGTAATCCGGCGGATGCCGGCATCTGTCATCTGGGTTCCGTCCCCTGTAAGCGTTGGGACGTACGGGGGACGGAACGGCGGGAAATTTGAAAATGACAAAAAGTGACATTCACTAAAATCACCTAGTAAAACATTACTGTATCAAACCATTTCACATACATTTTGTCCCTAGTGCTTTGTCCTGTGCCCTGCCTGCATTTTTACTGTCCTTTCTGCCTGGAAACTGAGAAACGTCCATGGCGTCCAAAAAGCGTCCCTTTAGGTCAACAGCGGTTTTAGACCAGCTAGAGAACAGCGATAGTAAATTAGAACTACTTGCAGAATTGAGTGATAATGATTCGTGGGCAAAGTCATCAGACACTGAAAACGATTTTGCGACTTTGCTCAGTGATGTGCGAACTTTGCGCTATATTTCAAATTTCAGTGTTTTTAGTTTGATTATATTATTGAATTAAATTTATTATTATTATATTATCATTTTTTATGATTATTTATTAAATTATAATTTATGATTTCGTGTTTCAAATTTTATCATACCCGGGATGTTTACTAGACTCTTGTTCGGACAGATTACAGTGAGTTATTCCTAAAAATGACAGGCCTACAATAAAAAAAATACATATTTCCATGCAAAAAAATGTACCACTTTGAGCACAGAAATATGGACATAATCAGACCTGCTAGGGAGGTTAAGAACAGAGGCGTTACAAAGGGCCCTAGGATAAGATGATTTAATTTTGTGACTTTTTCACTTGTTATCACTCTTGGACTCACAAACCTTTTAAATAATTGACACAGTTTCTGCATGGCTTATTGTTGTTTGAGTTGAGTTAACATATATGTATTTGTTTTGATGCACAATTTATAAAGGATGCGCATTTGTCAAGTAGATTTATGTGCGTTTATATGTTGTGAATTGAGTTTGTATTAGTCCTGCACTTATTTTAAATACATCTCCTTTTTATATGGTTTAGCTGATGGTATTCATAGCTCAACCGTATTTAAATACTGCATACATGGATTGAATTTCGATGTATTTGTGGCCACTGCAGTTGAACAAAAGTCGATCTGCAGATCAACTTCCATTCAGCCTCCCTATTGGATAGAAGCCAAAGGCTGCAGTGCTGATCTGTGAGTTCTGACAGCAGGGGCATTTGTCGCTGTCCGAACACAGCACATCAGGGAAGATTCCCCCATCCACCTCAAATGTGTGGATGGGGAAATCAGTTGATATATTTTTTTGTTTTCCATTCAGCCTGCTGGCTGAACAAAAAAAACTGAACCATGTATGGCCAGCTTCAAGTATGGCTACAAGCAATATTGTATCTCTCTGCAATGCATATCATCACTAGGACAGCAAGATTGTTTAAACTGTAAAGGTTATATTTCCTTTAGCATTGTTAGCCACATGTTTATGTTCCCAGCACATAAAGCTAATGATAATGCCCAATAATTCCAGAATGTATTGATCCAAAACCAGTGATGCATTTATTAATGATGCGGTAAGTGTGCATTTTTGCTCATGTCAGACCTGCTGGAGTGATTGGGTCTCATGGAAGTGTGTGCATACCTGGTAAACTAAACACAGAGCACTTGTGGTTTTATCTGGATAAAACTGCAGTGATAAACTAGTCTAAATTCTAACAGGTTTTTTTTTTACCTTAATATATTCCCTGCAATAGGATAAACCATGCATTTCTGCGTGTCCTCCAAACCCCCCATCACCTGCTGAAGAGTCACTCTCCTCATTTTCTGGTTTCAGAGGGAATTAAGAACAGCAGAGCCATAGGTTTCTGCTGGAAGAATGGCCATGACTCTCTGGAGTTGTGTGTGCCTATGGACACACACAGGTCAGCATAGAACCTGGCGGGAAACGAATGTGCTTGGGTGCCTCCTCAGCACCTGTCTTGCTGCAGGAGGCACCCAACGGAGGGGAGGAACCTACAGTGCTGACAAGGACTGTTAAAAGGGGACAAAAGTGTAGTTTTGGGCAATATTGTTGCACAGAACAAGTTGGCATTACCTTTTTTTTTTTTTGTTTTTATTCTTCAAAAAAAATTGCTTTAATGTTACTTTAAGCTATACATTCATGGTCAACAAGTACTTTGCATTAAATATAAAAACAAACTGAACAATCAACATCTAGTTTGCAGTGGCAGATCTTACATCTGCATTTTTTTACACACTTGCACTTTTTTGGACAATGTTTTGCTGGTGGCTGGACAACAGCTACTTGGACAGGGAGTGAGAGGGAATGACCTTCATGGGGACAAAGACTACAGTAACATCCTGATAATTGTACTATAAAATGTATTTAAAAAAATGCGTGTTCCCTTGGCAGAAAAAAAATACTGATATAGAGCATTTTTGTACACAGTTTAGTTGAGTTTAAGAGAGTTTTTAGGGTTTTTTTTTTTTCTGCCAGAAAGCTCCATTCAAAAACGCAAACCAGAAGGGTTTTTTCCTGCCTCCAAATGTTGAGCATAAAATATGCCTCTGATCGTCCTAACATGCATGGACACAGGAAAACAGGAGCTGCTTCTACATGCAAAACACAAAACTGGAGAAGCAGTGATTTTTAAGCCAGTGTGCATGTAGCCGGATCCTCAGTCATTGCTCTAATTGCAAGGATCACGCTGTTATTGCCATGCTTTATACTCATTGCTGCCTATAATAACTCCCCACCAGCTGCTTAAATCTCTTCTGCTCTCTGCATCTGTTTTTCAGTACCAATGGTATATTTCTGATGTGTGTTAGGTTGCCTGTTGTGGGCAACATGTCAGACCTTAACACAGAAGACACAGCCCTGAGGGTCACTCCAGCTTATTGCATGTTATAGAATTGAGGATTGAGCTCTGCATTTTGCACTTTCCAGCTGTGTGCACTGTGTCAGCTATCAACAGAGCACGCTCCAGTTCAGTGCATGTTACAGCCTCTGGTGCAATCAAGTGTTTTATGTCTGTCAGTGTATGGGGGCCTCTACATGTGACAATAAATCCTGTTGTATGTCTTTGGACAACTGTGTTCTGTGTTAAAGATTTGTAACTGTTTTCTCAGAGCCTTTGCTGTGTTCTGTCTCTGTATACCCTTTCCTTCTGATTGAGATTAACATATCTTTATATAGAACTCTCTGCTTTGTCACTTTTCAGTTGCCTGTGCATCGTTTTCAATGTTTTACACAGTCCTGTCTTGTTTTAGAGCTGTGGCACAGCCATGATCCGGTTCATATATATGCAAATTGGAAGCGTTTTGAACTGCATCTGGTTCACACGTGAACCAAAATCCTTTTCTATGGAGCCAGTTCACATACGTGCGAGCCAGCCGCAGTGCGATTTTAAGAATCCAGTATGATTTCCAGCCTGGTTCAGGTGCGATTTCCAATGTCATACGCTTTAACAATTTGCATTGTAATCGCACCTGAACCGCTGAAAAAAACCATACCGGGCTGTTTTATGAATCACACTTCAAACCAGCGCCACACATCTGTGAACCCAGGCTTAGTGTGACCTAGTCTCGCTTATTCATTTGAAATGATTAGCAGTTGCAGCAAAGGGAGCTTTGTGATGGGTTTAGCCACTGGGCATTCTTTTCTTTGTAAATTCCCACAAATTCTCCTGGGGCACTCTGTACTGGTCTTCCACTAGAGGCAGTCTTGAACGCACACACTTTTTTTCCCTTTCCCAGCCTTCATTTTGGAAAAGTTGTTTCCTGCTTCTACCTTTGTTTGGTCTGCTTGTGGGTGGTCCAGTCTCTGGATTTTTCTCCACTGTCTATCTTCAGTGTTTTAGTCCTTTGCAGCCAATTGCAATCCACACCAGCTCTTCCTGCCTGGATTTCTAAGTTTGCATTGCCTGCCTCACTTGAGTCTTTTGGGTTCCCCTGTCTGATGTACCATATCTCTTAAAAAAAAAAAAAAAAAAAAAAAATTATTTCAGGGAGCAGATCTCTGGCATCCTTAGAAGGATCCAATGCCTGTATTCGTGCTTCTGGGACATTTTATTTCCATAAGATTGTCCTCATACCAGCTTCTATAGCTACACAGTCTATGCCTGAGACCTGCACTGTCCAGTAGGCCAGCCTTTCTCAACCAGGGTGCCTTGAGGCTTCTTCTGGAGTGCCTTGGCAAAATGTCTAAAAGTTGCACAAAACATGTATACAAGCCAGCGGGTGGAAGAAGCTTGCCTTTTCGTTACACAAAGCCACAGGTTTTCATTGTGCACCATTACGACCTTCTAGCCACCGTCGTCCTGAAAACCAATGACATCATCAATTGGTAAAGAGGATGTCAATTGCCTGCACAGCATCCTAGTTTGACCCTCCCCTGCCTCTTGACATCAGTGCTGGGGTCACATTAGCTCAGCGATGGAGAAAAGCTGAGAGAAACACTGTGATACTAGTCAGAACCAGTGTGCAAACATTTATTTGATTTGAAAGAATAAATCACATCTAGCATTGGGTGTCCATGTGTGGATGTTGCTGCATTATATAAAACTATTAGAATGGTTTTTTAAATTTTAGAAAGGGGTGCCTCAAGATTGTCTATAATTTTTAAAGGGTGCCTCGGGACTGTCTTTAATTTTAAAGGGTGCTTTGACTGAAAAAAGGTTGAGAAACATTGCAAATGCAATAGGCCTCCTGTGACTTATGTCAGTCCTTGTAACCTTATCTAGCAGAATGTCAACCAACGTTCTAGTGCCATCTAGGGTAGATTCTAGTTTCTACGGTTGTCTCTGGCTAGTAAACTGTGCTATTCTTTCAGCCACTGGGCTGAACGGAAAAAACGGATAGAATCTTGCATCCACACAAGCTACGTGAAGTAGACAGAAAGTTAAAAAAAAAAAAAAAAAAAAAAAAACTTCCATGTGGACACAGCAATAAAGATTTGACAGGGGTTTTAATGTGGACACAGCAATAAAAGACTGCTGGTTCCAGTCTTCCCACTATCCAAAAAAGGCTGGAGCTTAGGATGTTGTTATTAATGTGTAAAGAAACTCTGTTATCACAAGTCCTGGAAATCTTTACTAGAACTACATAATAATGAACTGCCATACACTACCAACTCTGAAAAGCGTGCCAGGTGTGATACTTGGTATAATGTATGTAGAACCTCTTTTGTATGTGATGCAAAAGAAAAAGTTCTTACAATTTTTTTTTATTTTTATTTTTCTGTGGTCCTGCATTCATGGGGGGGATGTTCCCACATTCCTGGGGGTTGTTTGCGTACCAATGCTCTAAGACGTGAATGTCAATAAATGGTGCTATAAGGTCTGGTACTAACTTTTCTTTGGTGCTGATTCTGATATAACAATTCATGCTGATAGAGAAAGATAATAAATTATACATCTGGAAGCAATTATATTTCCAAAGCCGATTTTTCAATACAAAGTGAAAACTCCCTATGTTGCCACAATTGTAAACAAGCCCAAGTTAGTTTTAATTTAATATTGTGTTAAATATTTATGACCGTATTGAATGATGTTACCAAATGCAGGAGAGGTTTGTCACTTAAGGCCTCCATAGATGGCTCAAATTTCCACAGATTCCTGCTGAATCAGCTGAAGTTCCAGCTGTGGGTAGCAAGTACCAAACAGCTCCACATAAATCAATTTAAAAGTTGACTGAGTCGGGTGAAAATTTATCGGCCAAACACTGCCTGCAACCTATCAGATGCAGTCGCTGTTCTGTAGCGCCAGTGTATTCAGTCTGCTATAGCCCCAATTTATGAAGGTCTTTAATGAGAGATCTCTCCTGCATTGTAATGTCTTTCAGTACTGCCGTAAATATTTAACACAGATATTAAAATTAATGTTTGTTTTCGGTGTTGCACCCAACAAATTCTCATTTTGTTTATTGTCATTTTTTATACCAAATATTCATTAAAAATTCACTAAGCACTATCAATGTTTATTACATTGCAAAATTGTTAGAATGGGGAGTACCAAAATAGAATTGCAAAATATTATTAAATCTTTAGGGTCTCCAGAAAATATGGTAACTACACTTTTTCAGGCTGCACATCCTTCTATATTTGCATACACAGAGCTTAAGATGTCAATAAACACAAACATTTTTAGGGGTCATTGAAATGAATAGCTCTTGCTGTGTCCTCATTGTTTTTGTGAATTACTATAGTCTAATTTAAGTTGTTCAAATGAGTTTACATTTAGTTAAAGTGTATCTCTAACTAAAACCTGTTTGTTTTAGGTAGACTAGGGATAAAACCCCTTTCAGTTTTCTACTTTGCTAAGTGTATACTCATCGGGAGCTTCACCTTCACCTCCTGTTAAAGAGAGAAAACAGGGAGCGAAAGGAAATACCCTCAAACATTTGTCACTGGAACAGGTGTCCTCATAGGAAGAGTTCCCCTTATATTAAAGGACGATCCTAACATTTTCTATTTCCCACCACTTTTTGACAGGGTTTCTAACACTTCCACATTCTATCCATATCTTTAAAAAAATATTTAAAAAAATGTTAGAGATGCATTTTATTGTGCTTTTTTTTAAGTTGTTTACCACAATATACACATTTTGTAAAAATTATTCAACAGATTTAAAACTACATGTCCTGGGAGGAAACTGTCTTTTAAAATAGTTTTTTTTTATATGTTAATCCAATGCATTTCCTTGTATGATTATCTATATTTTGACAAATTTCATTTCTTCTCTGTCTCAAAAGTGGCACCATACAGTATGTGATCCTGACCTACATGAAACATCTTGGCGTAAAAGTGAAGGAACCTAGGATACTTGAACAGAGGAGGGGCCGTATTGGTTTCTTACCAAAAATTAAGGTATCAATCTGTTTAGAGGAAATTACTTACTGGTTAGTCTTTATATCTTAACTTAAATTGTATTACCTGTTATAAACAACTTGGAGTGCTGATCTAAGTGCTGATTGTACTGTTCAGATGAGCCACTGTTTGCAAGGGTGCTGGCGCATAAGTACTTATTTAGAAAGGGAGCATGGCCTTGGGAGAAGCTGAGGCTTAGCCTGCTCTTACATTATACACACATTGAACTGTCTGTATGCAGCGCTTTCTATACCGACTTGTTACCTGTGTTTTGTTTAGTATTAAGAGCAGCTGGGAAACAAATACTAAATATATCTGATTATGAAATGAGCCCATTAGGTCTGCCATGGCAGCAGACAGCTGCAAATACTTACTTTTACATTGTTGTAAATCTCTCCTACTTGAAACATCCAATTTTGAAAACATGTAAAAAGAATGCCTAAAACAGACTACTATTGTCATTTTATACCGCAAGCTAATAGATTAGAGTTTGCTTGGGTGAGCTGTGCTGAAGAAGCTCATTGCATTCCATATATACAGTGCATCCAGAAAGTATTATCTTTTGCCACATTTTGTTATTTTACAGCCTTATTCCAAAATGTATTGAATTCATTTTTTTCCTCAACATTCTACAAACAATACCCCATAATGACAATGTGAAAGAAGTTAGTTTTGAAATCTTTGCAATTTATTAAAAATGAAAAAAAACTACATGTACACAAATATTCACAGCCTTTGCCATGACACTCACAGTTGAGCTCTGGTGCATCCTGTTCCCATTGATCATCCTTGTGATGTTTCCACAACTTGATTGGATTCCACCTGTGGGAAATTCAGTTGATTGGACATGATTAGGAAAGGCATAAACCTGTCTATATAAGGTCCCACAGTTAACAGTGCATGTCAGAGCACAAACCAAGCCATGAAGTTCAAGGAATTGTCCGTAGACCCCCGAGACAGGATTGTATCAAGGCACAGATCTGGGGAAGGGCATAGAAAAATTTCTGCAGCATTGAAGGTCCCAATGAGCACAGTGGCCTCCATCATCCATAAATGGAAGAAGTTTGGAACCACCAGGAATCTTCCTAGAGCGGGCCGCCAGGCCAAAATGAGCGATTGAGGGAGAAGGGCCTTAGCCAGGGAGGTAACCAAGCATCCGATGGTTACTCTGAAAGAGCTCTAGCATTTCTCCGTGGAGAGAGGAGAAACTTCCAGAAGAACAACCATCTCTGCAGCCCATCTCTACAGCACTCCACCAATCAGGCCTGTAAGGTAGAGTGGCCAGATGGAAGCCACTCCTCAGAAAAAGGCAAATGGCAGCCCGCCTGGAGTTTGCCAAAAGGCAACTGAGGGACTCTCAGACCATGAGAAACAAAACTCTCTGGTCTGATGAAACAAAGATTGAACTCTTTGGCCTGAATGCCAAGCGTCATGTCTGGAGGAAACTGGGCGTCGCTCACCACCCGGCCAATACCATCCTTACAGTGAAGCATGGTGGTGGCAGCATCAAGCTGTGGGGATATTTTTTAGCGGCAGGAACTGGGAGACTAGTCAGGGTTGAAGACACAATGAATGCAGCAATGTACAGAGACATCCTTGATAAAAACCTGTTCCAGAGTGCTCTGGAACTTAGACTTGGGTGACGGTTCAACTTTTAACAGGACAACGACCTTGAGTGCAAAGCCCACATAAAGGAGTGGCTACGGGCCAACTCTGTGAGTGTCTTGGAGCGGCCAAGCCAGAGCCCAGACTTTAACCCGATTTGAACATCTTTGGAGAGATCTGAAAATGGCTGTGCACCGATGCTTCCCATCCAACCTGATGGAGCTTGAGAGATACTGCAAAGAAGAATGGGAGAAATTCCCAAAAATAGGTGTGCCAAGCTTGTAGCATCATACTCGAAACGACTTGAGGCTGTAATTGGTGCTAAAGGTGCTTCAACAAAGTGTTGAGCAATGGTTGTGGATACTTATGTACATGTGTTTTTTTTTTTTTTTTTAATAAATTGCAGAGATTTCAAAACGAACATCTTTCACGTTGTCATTATGGGGTATTGTTTGTAGAATGTTGAGGAAAAAATTAATATAATCCATTTTGGAATAAGGCTGTAACATAAAATGTGGCAGAAGTTAAGCATTGTGAATACTTTCTGGATGCACTGTGTGTGTGTGTGTGTGTGTGTGTGTGTGTGTGTGTGTGTGTGTGTGTGTGTGTGTGTGTGTGTATATATATATATGTATATATATATATATATATATATATATATATATATATATCACACTATATTGCTAAAAGTATTGGGACGCCTGCCTTTACACGCACATGAACTTTAATGGCATCTCAGTCTTAGTCCGTAGGATTCAATCTTGAGTTGGCCCAGCCTTTGCAGCTGTAAAAGCTTCAACTCCTCTGGGAAGGTTGTCCACAAGGTTTAGGAGTGTGTCTATAGAAATGTTTGACCATTCTTCCAGAAGCGCATTTGTAAGGGCAGGCACTGATGTTGGACGAGAAGGCCTGGCTCGCAGCCTCCTCTCTAATTCATCCCAAAGCGTGTTTTATTGGGTTGAGGTCAGGACTCTGCACAGGTCAGTCAAGTTCCTCCACCCCAAACTTGCTCATCCATGTCTTTATGGACCTTTCTTTGTGCACTGGTGCGCAGTCATGCTGGAACAGGAAGGGGCCATCCCCACACTGTTCCCAGAACTGTTCTAGCAACCGCCAAACCCAGACATGTCCACCAGATTGCCAGACAGAGAAGCATGATATGTCACTCCAGAGAACACGTATCCACTGCTTCAGAGTCCAGTTGTGTTATGCTTTACACCACTGCATCCGACACTTTGCATTGCACTTGGTGATGTAAGGCTTGGATGCAGCTGCTTGGCCATGGAAACCCATTCCATAAACCTCTGTACGCACTGTTGTGCTAATCTAAAGGCTAATCTGAAGTTTGGAGGTCTTTAGCTATTGAGTCTACAGACTGTTGGTGACTTCTGCGCACTGTGCTCTTCAGCATGCGCTGACTCTGCTCTGTCATTTTATGTGGCCTAGTTGCTGTTGTTCCCAGTTGCTTTCACTAACCGTTGACCGTGGAAAATTTAGTAGCAAGGAAATTTAAGGGATGGACTTATTGCACAGGTGACAACCTATCACGGTACCATGCTTGAATTCACTGAGCTCCTGTGAGCGACCCATTCTTTACACGTTTGTAGAAGCAGTCTTCATTCTTAGGTGCTTGATTGACGGCCTGTGGCCATGGAAGTGATTGGAACACCTGAATCCAATGATTTGGAGGGGTGTCCCAATGCTTTTGGCAATATAGTGTATATGACCACCTGTTGGTAAGAAAATAACCCCCGTTGCTGCCAAAACAGCCCTGACCCATCATGAACTCCACTAGATCTCTGAAGGTATGCTGTGGTATCTGGCACCAAGTCATCAGTAGCAGATCCTTTAAGTCCTGTAAGTTGCAAGATGGGGCTTCCATGGATTGGACTTGTTTCTCCAGCATATCCCACAGATGCTTGATTGGATTGAGATCTCGAGAATCTGGAGGCTAAGTCAGAACTTCAAATTGGTCGTTCTGTTCCTCACGCCATTTTTGAACTAATTTTACAGGCTGCATTAACCTGTCAAAATAGGCCACTGCCATCGGGCATTACTGTTTCCATGAAGGCATCTACTTGGTCAGCAGCAATGTTTAGGTTAGTGTTATGTGTCAAGTAACATCTGCGTAAATGGCAGAACCCAAGGTTTCCTAGCAGAACATTGCCCAGAGCATCATGCTGCCTCCATCAACTTGCCTTCTTCCCATACTGCATCCTGGTGTCCAGGTAAACAACGCAGACACACCCAGCCATCCACTTGCTGTAAAAGAAAACCTGATTTATTATACCAAGCTACCTTCTGCTATTGTTCAGTGGTCCAATTCTGATGCTAACGTGTCCATTGTAAGCACTTTTGGCTGTGGATACCGGTCAGCATGGGCGTCCTGACTGGTCTGCAACTATGCAGTCCCATACACAACAAACTGCAATGCCTGTGTTTTATGGTTTCAGCATCAGCTTCATGGACAACAGATTTACTTGCTGCTGAATATATCCCACAACTTTCAGATGCCATTGTAACAAGTTAACCAATGTTATTCCCTTAACCTATCAGTGGTCATAAAGTTATGACTGTTCGGTGTACATTTCACTCTAACACAGCCACAACAAAACTTGTCATAATTTTGCTATTCACATGACATTCAAGAGTAGACCTTTTCCTGGCCTTGGAAATCCATTCTGTAAAAAACTGCATAAATAGAAGAGTTGTTTGGTGATCTAAGCATAAAGCAATGACCAGTCTCTTTGCTCACAGTGCACATACCATATACAGTATGATCGGAGGTGTGACCATCAGACTTGTATGAGATTGTTGGACATTCCTATTCCAGAATTATCGGCATTAGTATCGAACCCCCTGCCTTCCGCTTTGGGACTATGACAACCTCCATATTTCTGGGAAGGCTTTCCACAAGATTTTTAATTTGTGCCAGTTCAGATAAAAATAATTTTTTTTAAGGTCAGATACTGATATAGCAGACTGAAGAGGTGCTGGAAGTATGTGTTTAAAACCTGGCAATTAAGCCCCCCCATCTCTACCAATTTTTAACCAACCAACTGCCGTCCATCCTTGTACTTGCCATAAATCCTTTCTAGACCCTGTCCTACTAGTTTAAATCACGTTTACCAAAGGTATATTGTAATTTTCAGTTATTTCTGCAGCCAAATGTTGCATCCCCTGACATTATTAAATGTATTTTAACTTAAAATCTAAATAAAAGAAAAGATTAAGTGCACCTTTATTTTTTTTTGCCCCTTGTGAACTCTCGTAAATCATCTCAGTCTCCTGAACAGAAAATCAACCCTGTAGAAGTCTATGGGAGTACACTGCACAGGTGCAGCCAGCAGAGGGAGTCTTGCGGGTTGGTTGTAAACAATCCTCAAAGGCCACAA